CTATAGAGACTAAATGTTTCAGGAAAAGGCAACTAATTAAAAAGAATAAAGATTCCCCACTAACATACCCTCCAATAAATCAAGAATAAACCTAAAAATACAAATGAGACCCCCAAATTTACTAACAACCCACACCCAAAAACAGTACCAAAGCAATGGTAAGGAGAAGGAAGTGTTTTTACCCAGGAAATGGGGCAAAATAGATATTAGTTTCCATTTGGATATCAATTAAGGCCAATAGTGTGAATGCAATGGTGGGTTTTCAGCCACAGAAACCTAAAGGCACAAATCCCTTGAAAAAAATTTCTACATCTCCTGCACCCTCCAAGCCCCTTTAACATCTGCATAAATGCTTATTATAATGAATTATCTGTCCTTTGGCCAAATAGCTCCTCCTCTTTCTTTTGCTGTGTGTCCCTCTGTTTTCACCCAATGTCTCTAACATGGGTCCTATGGCTCTGTTCAAAGAAACATAAAATATCCAAGTAGTTTTACAATTACATGTTTATACTGTTTGTCAGAAGTTATCACCTCCAATTTATAAATAAATATTTCTGAAGTCAAACATCTCCCCAAAATTCCCTCTCCACTTCCTATACCAACTTGGGCCAGAGATACCACACTCGCATCCTTCTCAGGTTTCCCTTCCTCCTCGCATTCTTCCCTGCCTAAGTGGCTGGGTCCGGGCCCTTTGTGGATCTTTCTCTATATGATAAGACAACTATCGCTACTCATGGTTGGATGATGAATTCTGAATCTTCACCTAAAGCCTGGATTCAGAGCGCTCTCAGCAAGAACTCTGTCTCCAAAGTGAATGTAGCTAGTCTCTTAATACAAAATCCTTATTTCTGAAAATAAGTGCATATTTAAGGGCAATTATTATGAATTAAACTTAATTAAAAATGGATCCTTGAACAATTTTAAACAGCATCTATTTGGGGAGGGATTTTTTAGTTATGTATTTAATTTCCTCTGAAATTAAACTTCACTGAAATCTTATGCATATAAACTGTGTTAGAACATTTTTTAAAATGGCAGTTCTTTCTTTAGTACTGAAGGTTTCTTCTTTCAGGGCTAGAAAATAATGTATTACCACAAAGAATAGACATCTATATTAGAAACTGTCTTTTATACATCGATCTTCTTTGTTATAGATATCTCCTATGTTACATTTATCGCCTCCCATATTTTTTTTAAGTCATCTCATAATTTGCCAGTACCTGCATGGCCATTATGATAATGGCTTGGCAATATATATATATATGCATATATATAATGATTGTTTGCAAGAGAATTTTAAGATCAGTTAAAAGATTATTTCTGAGTACTGACAGGGACCCCGTAGTCCAAGAAAAGAGACAACTAATGGACAGATAAATAGGTATCTGTAAAATCACAAAAGTTATGATTATTCTCTGTTACTCACTGTTCAAAGGGGGGAAATGAAATTACCAGGCAGTAGGTTTTAAGCTAACAATAGAAAATACTGTTTCTCATCACATCTATTTAAATTCGGGAACTTCTTGACATGGCATGCTGTGAAAGGCAAACGCATAAAGGAGTTCTAAAAAGTTTAGACAAATTCATAGAAAACATGATGGTCCAGCTGTCTGCTAAGAAAATCCTCAACCAGGAGAAGTATTTCTCAGTAATGTCCTGCTACTTACATTACTTCTCAGTCATCCTCTACTTTGCCAGTGTTCGAGTCACAGTACTACTTAACCTTGTGATCTATCCAAGGATGACAAGTTGTTTATTAATATTTGTGAGTGTGATGTCAAGACAAATTAGCTGGTTTCCCATTAGAAACATATGAAGACTAGTTATTCTTTGTAGAAGTCAAGGGCAGAGGACATCAGAGAGACATCAAACACATCACAGTCTGATAACATTTTGAGGTACTTACTGTTTATTAAATTGTTTTGGTTTGTTTTTTAAAGAAGGTATTTTTACATCACAACTTGTTATGCCTCTGTAAATGAATAATTTAGAGTAAAGTACATTTTGGAGACACTGCAACTTTCTCTGAATCAAGCATTATAACCATAAGCTGTTCAGACTAAAGGATAACCTCACAAATCAGTCCTGTTAGACAAGGGAAACTATACAAGTCAGTAAAAAGGAAAACAAAGGAAAAAAGCCAGCTGTGCTCGCAGCAGCAAATTGAAGGGTTGAAGAAAAAATTAATCCAACATATATTTATGTTGGATTAATTTCTTTGCCAGTTGCAAAGAAAGCCAACAGGATGCTGGGTTGCATCATCAAGGGCATCACCAGCAGAGATAAAGAAGTCATTATCCCACTCTACTCAGCACTTGTCAGGCCCCACCTGGAATACTGTGCTCAGTTTTGGTCCCCTCTATACAAAAAAGAGGTGGACAGGCTGGAGAGGGCCCAGAGAAGGGCCACCAGGATGATCAAAGGACTGAGAAGCCTGCCGTAGGAGGAAAGGCTGAGAACTGGGTTTGTTCAGCCTTGGGAAAAGAAGGCTTAGGGACCTCAGCACCATGTCCCAGTACTTAAAGGGTGGCTACAAAGGCGATGGAGACTCCCTTTTCACAAGGAGTCACATGGAAAAGACGACGGGTAATGGGTGCAAGTTACTCCTGGGGAGATTCCAGCTGGACCCTAGAGGAAAATTGTTCACCATGAGAACAATCAGCCATTGGAATAATCTCCCCAGGGAAGTGGTGGATCCCCCCAACATTGGACACTTTTAAGATTTGGCTGTACAGGGTGCTGGGCCATCTTGTCTAGTCCATGCTTTTGTCTAGAAGGTGCTTTTGCCAAAAAATTTTGAACCAGATGATCCTTGAGATCCCTTGCAACCTGGTATTCTATGCCTCTATGATTTTATGATTCTATGACACTTAAAAATCAGTTGTTCTCTGAGAGCACAAGCTCCCAGTGCTTTCACCAGAATGCCATTGCCCTTGTGTGATGGTACTACCAGGTCTATAGACCCCAGCACTAATTTATTTGCATTAATTTAGAATGACTAAATCCTGGTAAAGAGGTTGGGTTTGGGTTTTTTTTTTTTTCATTTGTAAGCTCGTTTGCAAAGCCCTGACACATAAACGCAATCCTTCAGTTCCTGTTTTGGGTGGGGGTGTTAGGCACTTGAACGCAGATGGATTATAAGCATCTAAAGCCGTTTGTTTAGCAAACCAAATGTTTGCTTTATTATTTTCAAGTAATCAAAGAGCACCTGCTTATTTCTTGTTTTAAGCCAGTCAGACAGAAAGCAGTATTACAGCTATAACACTGTCATCCTGATATTTATAATCCAGGCCATGCTGGGCGGATGTTTAGGCACAGCATTGCCGCTGTGGGCAGGGGAAGCTGATAACAAAATAGGAATCTGAAAAGCAGTTTTATTTGAAGACGAGCAGCATGCAGTCCTCCCCAGGACACCAGGTCACACGTGTGCCATGCACACGCAGGCCCTTGCCCAAATCGTCGCAGCAGCATTCGCAAAGCCTGGGACAAATCTCACTAGGGTAGCTAAAGGACAAAAAACCAGAGTTACAATATTCCTCCTTAGGAGGGACTTAAAAGGCACAAGCCCTTTTCACATGATTCATTGGGTACCTGGTGGGTGAAGGTTCAGGACCAGTTCATACGCCATTCAATTTTCCAATTCACTCCTGCTATTTGTTATTCCACCTGTACTGCTGGTCTCCCAAATGGACTTTTTTTTTTCCAGCTTGAATAGATGGCTACACCATTTGCTAACCATCAGAATAACAAAAAAGAATACCAAATACCAATTCTAGCGTTCATTACCATTTTTTTTACCCCACCACCCATTCGGACCGACCAGGTGCCCACTGTAGCTACTGGAAGACTTGTCTTCAATTTTGATGAGCCCTGGGATTTATGTACTCAGAAAGACATAGGCAGTGAGTTGATGAGATCATAGGCTGGTATGACTGAAGGTCTGTTATAATTTATGCTTAAAACCTGCTGTATTTGAAAAGCAGCCTCTGATAGAACTTGAGGATTTAGCATGCAGGTAAGCTTCACAAGCAGATTTAACCCCTGTTAAATGAGAAATGTTAAATGAAGTGAGAAATGTTAAATCTTCTGGAAGAAAATTATATCTGAAACTATGTAGATCTAATACGAAGCAACACAGAACTAACATGTAGGCACCAAAAACCAGATTTCTCTGTCCTGACCCACCGGTGCAAGTAAGGACTTTTAGGAGTACTGGGCTAAATGTGCTATTAATTTTAAGCACAAGGTAACCCAAAGAGTGTGCGTTTTATCTTTGTCTACTTCCCACAATAATCTAGTGCTACCAAATACAGTCAGCTGCTAGATTTTGTGAGAGCATAGGACAAGGGGTAATGGGTTTAAGCTGAAGGAGGGTAGATTTAGATTAGATGTTAGGAAGAAGTTCTTCCCTGTGAGGGTGGTGAGACACTGGGACAGGTTGCCCAGAGAAGCTGTGGATGCCCCATCCCTGGAAGTGTTCAAGGCCAGGTTGGATGGGGCTTTGGGCAACCTGGTCTAGTGGAGGGTGTCCCTGCGCATGGCAGGGGGGGGTTGGAACTGGATGATCTTTGAGGTCCTTTCCTACCCAAACCATTCTATGATTCTATGATTCTTTAAATCCCTACTTTATGAGGGGGCAGCATAAGATGCCTGGATCTCTGGGGAAGTGCTTGCACTACAGTACAGCTCTGTGACTGATCCTGCAAAATGGAGGCATGCGTTCTTTTTATGGGCATGAGAAATTGGATTAGAATGTCTGTGCCTAATTTTCCATAGGTTTAAGGACATGAACAAATATTTTTAGAATCAGGGTCTTGGTGGTGAAGAGCGTGTTATGTTTTACACTGGAGGAATACATTAAACACTTGTTCTGTGTGACTCTTCAGTTATGACAAGAAATGTCTGCAAAGGCAGAATACAACACAGAGGCAAAAACCACCAGCTTCACACCTAGACGAAAGTTCCAAATTGTCTGCCCGTTGGTAGGTTGTTATACTTACCAATATTGCAATACTTTCCTGCATAATTTCCTTTGCAATCACATACTATTTTCCCACTGAAGGTAACCATTTTACATTCTCCACCATTCATGCAAGGATCGTGAACACAACCTACAAGCAGAAACCAAAGATCAAACCAAAGATACAAACTATTCAAGAGAATCAGTCCATTTTAACTTTCTTTAGTACACCTTCTCCATGCATATACATTTTGGGGAAGTTCTTACTTTTTTACTCATCTCAGACCTACACTTCATACAAATTGAAGAACAGGAAACTCTGCTGATTTCTGCCCACTGAGGTCTGTCTCATTGTTTTTACTTTTATTGGATCATGTCAGCCTAGCTATTGAAAAATATTATCAATGAACAATAAGTAAAATGGGGGTGGTAATTATTACTAGTGGTGATGGTGGCAGCATTAGCATTTCTTTCTGTACAGAGGGTTCTGCCAATTCCAAGTTTGCCACTGAGCTGCATTAAAACTTACATAATAGCGTATCTACCAGGGAGCTCAGTTAAATATTTAGGATCTGTGGTTGGGAAGTATTAAGTCCTATCAAATTTCCCAACTCTCCCATGGACTCCCAATATCCTAGAAAGCCACCAACTCTCTTCTTACTTTAGTTTCCCGTTGTGTAAGATGGGAACAAAAGCAACTACCTGTTTCAAAGGGCTCTTTTACTCAGTACCGTAAGTTACTTGGGAGTCTGGGCAGGGTTAAAGTCAGCCGAACTGAATAACAGAATAGCCATATCAGAGCAAATGTATAGGTGAGGCATATGGTTTGCTTCCCACCATCTCTCCTTCCAAAAAAGAGGTGCCTTGCTGGCTTCATCATATAAGTGACAACCCAAAGAACATGCCCTGCAGCTAGATGGCCAGCTGTGTCGGGAACTTGGGAGCCTCAAAACGAGGAGGCTTCATAACACTGACATGCACAACATCCTTGTCTCTAAATTGAAGAAACGTAGATTTGACAGATGGACCACTCGGTGGATAAGGAATTGACTGGATGGTCACACTAAAAGAGTTGCAGTTGACGGCTCAATGTCCAAGTGGAGACCAGTGATGAGTGGTGTTCCTCAGGGGTCGCTACTGCAACTAAGTTTAACATCTTTGTTGGTAACATGGACAGTGGGATCAAGTGCACCCTCAGCAAGTTTGCCAACACCAAGCTGTGTGGTGTGGTCAACACACTGGAAGGAAGGGATGCCATCCAGAGGGACCTTGACAGGTTTGAGAGGTGGGCCCATGAGAACCTCATGAAGTTCAACAAGGCCTAGTGCAAGGTCCTGCACATGGGTTGGGGCGATCCCAAGCACAACTACAGGCTGGGCAGAGAAGGCACTGAAAGCAGCCCTGAGGAGAAGGACTTGGGGGGTGTTGGTGGACATGAAGCTCAACATGAGCTGGCAATGTGCACTTGCAGCCCAGAAAGCCAACCATATCCCAAGCTGCATCAAAAGAACTGTGACCAGCAGGTTGAGGGAGGTGACTGTCTCCCTCTATTCCATTCTCATGACACCCCACCTGGAGTACTGCATCCAGCTCTGGGGCCCCCAACATAAGAAGGACATGGACTTGTTGGAGCAAGTCCAGAGGAGGGCCACAAAGATGGTGAGAGCACCTCTCCTATGAATACAGGCTGAGAGAGTTGGGGTTGTTCAGCCTGGAGAAGAGGAGGCTCCAGGGAGACCTTACAGCAGCCTTCCAGGGCCTAACCTTCCAGTGCCTAAAGGGGCCTACAGGAAAGCTGGAGAGATACTATTTACAAGGACATGGGGTGACAGGACAAGGGGGAATGGCTTTAAACTAAAAGAGGGTAGATTTAGATTAGATGTTAGGAAGAAATTCTTCCCTGTGAGGGTGGTGAGGCACTGGAACAAGTTGCCCAAAGAAGCTGTGAATGCCCCATCCCTGGAAGTGTTCAAGGCCAGGTTGGATGGGGCTTTGGGCAACCTGGTCTAGTGGAGGGTGTCCCTGCCCATGGCAGGGGGTGTTGGAACTGGATGATCTTGAAGGTCCTTTCCAACCCAAACCATTCTATGAATCTATGACTCTATGATAACATAAGCATCACCCCAGCCAGGAATGGGTATGTTGGACCAAAAGTCATGGTAACTCTGGGGGCAATGAAGGGCAAATGGCATCCTGGAGGCAGGTAGAGTTTACGTGCTGGCAACTCAAGATTGAGATAGGCTTGGGAAGAAAACTCAGAGGTGAAACAGCAATATGAAGTGATTGTAGGTGTGCAGGGGAAGTGTAGAGGAGGGTGTGCTTCTCAGGCATGTTGCAGTTTTGGAGAAGAAATTTTACCATTTCTACTATATAATCTATGGCATATTCTTACACACTGCAGTTCAAGATTGCATTCCTCTCAAAGAAAACTCTGAGGTGTGTCCCTAAAATTCAGCTTAATACATATAATTGCTTCCTCAAATAGGCACGGACACATTGAAGCGATTTCCTGCATCAGCATTACTGCTCACACATGGAAAGGAAAGCTAAAATATTCTCCTTTGGGGAGGGTACCTGAGCTGCAAGAGCAGCATTACTGTGTAAAACACCGCTCAGGCTTTGATGTTCTTACTGTTCTTTATCCCCACTCCATGCAGGCCAATAGCTGTAATACAAAATAGTGCCTTACTTTTGTGTTCGACATGCTCGCACTCGATCTGGCCATTCACACACATGCATTGCTCCACAGCTCCTTGTTGGACTCTTGACCAGCTCATGCCCACATCAAAGAACATGTAGAGACTGTTGTCAAAACATTTCTCTAAAAGACAATTTAAAAAACAACACAGGCTTTCTGAGATTATTTCTTGTGAGGAATGGGACCACAATCTCCATCATTTGCTACTTGAGGCAGAGGTGGCTTTCCCCTAAAGCCCTATGAGCATGACAGCATCACCATTACTTAAGCTTTTCCAGAAGTTCAAACACAAAAATCAAATCAGTGTTATATACTTCTGTCTGTCCCACTTTATTGCATCATCCATGATGATAGGCTGTGCTAGACACAGAGGAACACCAGGACTGAAAAAGGCTTCTTTGCTTTTTGTTGGGGGAGAAGTCTAGAGCTGTAGGGAACACGGTTTAGTGGTGGACTTGGCAGCGTTAGGTTAATGGTTGGACTCAATGATCTTAAGGGTCTTTTCCACCATAAATGATTCTATCATTCTATGAAAAGCCTTCATTAAACAGCAGCAAGCACAACTGCAAACCCTCAGTACGAAAGCCTAATTCCTTGCTTGATGTGCAGTAAATTGGGAGTGACACCATCATAGAACTGGAAAAGTCACCCACGCAAAGCCTTTTGGCCTGATTCTCCTCCTTTGAAAATGACTACCCTGAAGGTGGAATAGATGCCCAAGTGCAAAGCTGACATCACAGAAAAAGTCATAATGGACCCATGTGCGCATATACATAAGGGATAAGGCATCACCTGAAATTTTGCTGCTTTTTCATGTCTCCCTGCCCCACCTACTAGATGATATTATTAGTGATTTCCAACCACATAAGGGATATTTAAATCTTAAAAACATCAAAGGGAGGGGAAGAGGCTCTTTGTGTTTCTCATAGCTTAATACCTCACTGGCTCAGAGCATGCTTGGATTTATAGCTGTATAATCGAGCTATTTTCAGCTGTCCTGTCTGTAATGGATTGTCTGTCACAACCATTTGGAAATCCGCCTACACAAACATGCATGCTGCAGTGGTCTCTCTCATCACAACAGCAGTATCTTTTCATTAGGTAAACATTAATGAGCTCTACCTACTTCTTGTATTTCATGTTGTAACACTCATGGGAGAAGATACTTACTCATCTGACAGTCCTTGCCCGTGAATTCCTCAGGACAGGTACAATGGTACATCCCATGGCCATGAGCAAGAAAACAGGTCCCTCCATTTTGGCAAGGGTTGTTTGCACAGTGATCTAGGCAGGCCACATAAGAAGTTGTTGTTAATAGGTTCCAGATAAACCATGCTTTGTTGTGTTAGGCATCGGCTTGGTTACATGAACCATTTTGGTTCAACACACGGTGGTTTCAAAAACACCTATTAATCTAAAACAATGTTTATCCAACTAATTTACATTAGTTTTGTTTCCAGCTGTATAGAAGCTATATTTATCCAGCTTTTAAAAACCATATAGCAAATCACTGAACTGAACCTTTTTCCCCAGAGTAACTTGCCCGAAGGTGGTAGGTCCACCCACGCGTGAGGTTGCCAGAGCTGCCACTGTGGTAAGGAAGAAGATGGGACAAATGCCCACAAGATGGAGCTGTGCCTTTACACTGGGGAGGGAAGGCTGCAGCTCTGCCTTTGCCCGGATTACTGCCCTGCGTGCTTCACATTTTGACATCAATGACCGGGATTATGCATCTCTCTTTCAAATTACACAAAGGACAACCCTCGACAGAAGAATTTGCCATGGATTTTTGGATTTTGTCTAAAATGAACGCACAGCTGGACCAAAGGAAAAATATTTGAAGCAAAACAAGGGTACATCCAAGTAAATGAGGCTGAGCAAGATTAAACTAGACCAGTCAAATGTATCTCTGCTTTTTTATGGAATTTTCTACATCATGGGAAAATAGGGTGGGAGAAAAGGGGGTGCACCAGGACAACTTTCTCATCCCTGTGAAGGAAGTTTTACTTGGCAACGTGCTATGCAAAAGGTGTAAGGGTCTTGTTGGCCAACTGTTGCTCCTGATTTCAGGCGGTGTCAAGGGGTATACCTCCCCTGAACTCAACCAACATCATGTTTTACACTCACTGCAGGGCTGGCCCAACAGCTTGTCTGCATTCAAATCCTCTTTTTTAACACCAGTCAAACTCTACAAGAGCAACTGTAGAGTTACTCAATCCAGGTGCTCCTTCAGCTATACTGTGTGGTCCTCAGCACAGGAAGCAATATATAGAAACACAGGCACACACATACAGCGCTGAAGTGAAGCACAAAAGACACATCCTGAGCTTTGCTACAGCAGTGTAAAATGAAGGTTCCCCTGCACAGATCAAAATATTTACTTCAGAATAGAGTGATGTAATTGATATCAGATAGCAGGCCTGGGTGTATTCACTAGTAGTTTCACTCCAGGATAACATCAAGGGAAAGCAAGTAAAGGCAGTGATGTTCCTACAGTTCCTGCTTCTTGATAGTTATGAAACTTTCAGTGGTGTAATATTTCCTCAAAGGAAAATCCTTTATTTCTATTCCCGTCACATCCATACCATGACTTGATCTCCAGGCCATCTTCCGCTACAGCCATGCTCAAGTCATTTTTTGTACCCTTGTTGAATCTGCACTTCCACTTCTCCATTTCTTTCCCAGTTGGAGTCCCTCACTGCATCCCACCCACCACTCCAGCCTGCCTTCTGCAGGGTATTCTGCATCCCCCCTCCACCTTCTATGGAGTCCAGGAACAACTTCTACTCATAAGCGCACGGACACATCACAGTTCCCTGCAGGGAATCCTGCCCACCATTAACTAGCCGTTAACTGGGGAGTGCCAAGTCCCTGATGTCTAAAGCCACCCAGCAGTATCTCCTCACTCTTGTGGGAAAAACACTCCGTGCTTGCTAGCAATCACCTAGGCTTCAGCTTCACCTCTCTGAGCTCTGCTGAACGAGCACTAACCTTGTCTAATCATTCTAAACATATCTTCCCAGAAAAACTTTCTGTTTCTGCCACCCGCCTTTCCCAGAACTGGGACTGCTCTTCCCCAGAGCCCCTCCTGGGATGTTGCCTCTTCCTCCTGCCTGTGCAGCCCACACCACTCTACTTCTTCTTTCCATATCAGTCTAAATATCTCTTAAAAAAAAAAAAAAATCAGTCAGGCACTTTCCTCCCAAGTCTGGGCCTCCCTGGGGTTTTGGCCGTTTGTTCAACATTTCCAGACATTCAGAGCAGTAGTCCTAACAGACTGCCCAAGATCTGGAAGGCCCACACATAGGGGCATTGCACTTTTATGCATATATATGTACATATATATGAACTACAGTTGGACCATGTGTATGAAGGGGTGACATTGGGCAGATACTACACACAGTCTCCACAGAGATCTCCTGGGCAGGAGTGGAGGATCCTCTGAAAAGCTGAAGGCAGTGATAAAGCTCCCACTGATTTCAGGGAGTGGTTTGAACAAGCACCTTGGATGTTGTTATGGCAAGATCTGGCTCTGTATATTGCAGTACTAACATCTCCCTCCAGCAGAGCCTTCATACCTGAGCTAAACACTTTTTGGTTAAACTTTCTCTTGAAGTTGGCAGATGTGTTTTTCTGGATCAAAGCCTCCAACACTTGCTTCACACTAATTTGTAAGCAGCTCCAATGGTTTCAAGTCAACTCCCTGTGTACACATGGTGTTCTTGGACTGGAAAGAGTTTGTGCTTCAGCCTTTGCTTTCAAACAGCTCCTTCGCCATCCCAGTTCACACACTCCTCACCAATCTCTCATGGCCAAAGGATACTCTCTACCCTCAAAATTTCATATTTTCTTGTTTTTCAAGTGTCTATAAGGTGGTTGAGATTCCCCCAAAGATTTAATATTTTAGTGGACTTTTTTCACAACAAAATCATATATCTTCCACATTTTTAAAGTTCAGAATTATTCAGTTTGGCTGCTTCTTTCTTCCTAGCTATCTTCCCCAGCCAGTGAACTTTTCTCCCATTTGCTTGAAATTCCTTTCATCCATTATGCCACTCCTTCCTTTCAACTTCACCATAAACCTTCTCTCTTTAAGCTATGGCTGGTGATCTGTTAAACATTTTGCAAGTCCAAGTACTGTGCTTGCTGTTTAAAAAATTAAAGCCACTTATGTTTATAAATAAATAAACAAACAGCTAAAGAACTTGTATTTAATTTTGCAACATTCTTAATGCTTCCAGAAATAAAATCTTTACTTTGCAGCAGTCAGCAGTGATCTCTTTCAGCTACCCCATCCTTTTTTCTCTTTGCTTTCCCCTCTCACAAATATAACTTTTTCTTTTTTCTGGTGAAAGAACAGTAGCCAGGGCAAGCCCTCACTGGTCTTAAGGTATATTGACAGAGATACCCCTCAGCAAGGGGTAGGCAGACAGGGTGGCTTTCTTGTTGCAAACCGCTCTGTCAACGCTGTGGTGGGTAGCAGGGAAAACTGAGCCAGCAAGCTCAAAAAGGCTTGTGGGCAGCCAGCTCACCGCAGAGAGGTGGCACGAGGCACTGCACTGTGGACAGAGGTGGCACAAGGCACCCCAGAAATGCGATGCTAGGCTTGGAGAGCTGCTCCTTCAGCTACTGGAAAAGCTTGCCTGAGTCAGCCAGCCACCACTGTGACAGTCAGTGTTTCAATGGAGGATTAAAGCCATCATGAGTTACCACTTCCGACATTTTAAGCTCTGGGAGGGCACTCATGAATAAATGCAACCCTCATAACCTGACTCCTGTAAGCATGAACTGTCTATAAAGTCGATGTTCATGTCTGACATACTTGCATTACAAAGGCACATGCATTGCTGCTTGTTTGGGGTTAGGTCATTTTTCTCTGATCTACTGTTAATCTGTTTAAAGCCAGGCTGGAAAATAATTTAAAGTTCTTAAGTTTAAAATGATGATGCTGTGCACTGCTTAATTTTAGACTCTCAGCATGATTCAGCTAACGTTGGCTTTTCAAGTGCTCTGGTAGATTGTAATCAGCTTGGCAATGAGTCTCCTGACATGACGGAGAACTCCCTGCAAGAGGATGGTGGAAAATGCCCTTCATTGAAAAGTGGGAAGCAAACATCTAAGGGCATCTGGTCGTATCCCGCAGTCTAAACAAGACAGATCACATTTGAAAGTAGTGCAAAGGAGAAAAGAGGAACATGATCAGCATTTAGACACAGATCCAAAAAAAAACCTCAGGGGCATTAAGTCTCGTCAGTGCAACACCTGATTTTTCAGTGCTGGTCTGTCACTGTATAAACTGAGAAGTAGGTATATTTGTTCCTTATAAAATGAGATTCCCCAGCATCCAGCTCATGAAACATCAAGTTGGGGAGACAGAGACAAGCAAGGGCCAGCCATCAAGGTACATCAAGTTCCCCACCGAACTGCTTGGGACGTGATGCTTTCACCCAATGTGTCAATTAAAGGGGCTTATATAAAAAGAAGAGTTTGCCGCAGACCTTGGCTTCCTGTTTTAGACAGACTTTCGCTATGAGTTAATTGTAGCACTGGAGTGCAGTGACCACATGAAGCCATATCACTGCTCAGCCAAGTAACCCTTTCATTGCCCCTCAGTACTCCTACAATGAATGCATCTGTCCTCTTGTCTTCTCTCAAGCAGCCCAAAGCCCAAGGAAGTCTGGTTTTGAAGGTCTGCTCTTTATCCTGAGAACTTGAGGAAGGACAGCTGGAAGTCAGGGCCGTGTGTTGTACAAGGTCTGAAATGTTTCTGTATCTTCTAAAAAATTAACTGGTCAAAGAGACAGAAAATGTAGCTCATTAAATGAGGGGAAAACTAAAAGTCACCTCCAAGCCGTGAGGGAGGAGAAGATGATCATATCTGTGCTCAGCTCCAGCAGGACTTCAGATTTCCGTGTTGGCGTTACCATAATTTCTCTCCATGACTTCAAGTTAGTCAACAGAGAGTGAATTAAAGACTGTGTGACATTCACAGTCCAATGCTATGGTTATGCAGAGTCACAAAGAGATCCTGGAAACATCCGATGTGAAGGCTTGTTCTGCGTACACCAAATAAAAGTAGCACTGCAGGCACTGTCCCTCCTTACTGCAGGTGGCCAAGTAGGAGACAGGTATCTGGAGCAACTCAGGAATGGCTCGCCTTACCTGAGTGGTCTTTGGGCAATGAAGCACAGTGTCCCCACTTCCTGTCCCGGTCATAATTATGTGTTGTGGAACACCTGAAAAGAATTAAAGGTGCCATTTAGTACAGCTTTAAACAACCAGGATATTTGCACTGAAACTATATGGCCTTCATTATTTGGCAACCTGGAAATTATTTTTTTTTCCTAATTAGCATCTGTTTCACTCAAAATCTCTTAACACCAGAGAAAATATGGGAGTTTTGTTTTGTTAAAGATCATCTGCCCATGTCTCTCAAACAAAATACAGATTAAGAATGAGATGTGGAAGCAGGATCTGAGATCTCCAACAAATCCTCCAGAAAAACCCAACCTTCTTTCTATTTCTAAGATTAGAAAACAAAATACAGAAATAAAAACCAAAACCAAAGCAAATAAATTATGCCTCCTTTATTCATTACAAAACAAGTAAAACAGGACCCAACCCATTTTTTATGCCTGTCAGTTATTTTAATAATCTGTGGAGGCAGGAGACTGTCCGCAGAGGGACTTTTTCCTGTCTTTCAGCGGCAAATGTATTTTGTACTTGGTTCCTTTAAAGTGTTTCTATTTTTTAACTTGCCAGACAAAATGAGGAAATAACTGGCACGGGGGTGATTTCCAAATGCACGGATAAAACCTCTCCTTTTTGCAGAGCAGCGGGCTGAAACCTGCATGCCACGCCACCCGTGGGAATCCTACCAAGACAAACTTTGACAACTCTCTTATCAGCACACTTTCCTTGCCCTCATCAGTCTGTTATCTCCAAGGCTCATAGCACTCCAAGGAGCATTGCGCTGCTGTTCTCCATCTGCAGAGGCAGACTTACAGGCTTCCCCGAGGCCACACAGGAAAGTGTGTGACTGAACTGAGGCTGAACCTTGGAGGTCCACATTATGTCCCAATGCGTCGTCTGCCAAAACATCCTCCCCAACCAGTTCTAATGCAGCATAATAAATATCAGCTGTCACTACAAGAAAACAAGTGGCTACATGGCATTGGAAGAAATAGGAGTTAGCTTTTTTTAACATGCTTGATAATCTATTTTTAATTTAACGTGTGCGTTTTATCATACCTTGAAGAGTTGCGTTATCAAATATTTTTTCACCCTAGGACGTCACAAGTTAGATGATTGAAATTTTATTGTAGAGTATGTCTACCATTTTAACTGCCCTACTTTGCTGCTTAATTAGATGCTATGTGGTATTTAAAATGCTTTAATTCCTATGGAGCATCTGAATAGTCCATGCATATTAAGTTTGGTGACCTCAATTATATAAGCACAAAAAGAAAGGTGTTTGGTAGTCTAGTGCAGATTAACTCGACACCTCCTTAAACAGGCTGTTTTCTCACGGGCATTAAGGGCAGTGCGACTCTGCTGGGAGTTAATGGAAATTTCTCTACGCTCCTTCGGTAGGAAGTGGATGATGCTTTTTTAAAGGATGGCCTATTACACATGAGGATTAAGGTGAGCAGGAAGTTAAAAGTGGTTTTCAGCAGTGCACCCCTTGTGTCAGTGTTGGCAAAACCGTCTCTGACTGAACACTTTGTCTGTGCCAGCCATGACGGGAAAGTAGAATCCGAACTTTTCTAACTTTTTTGAATGACATAATTATTGATTTAGCAGACTAACATTACACTGGGCAGCATGGAGGAGGCAAATGGAAAAGGCCTTTTATACACCTAAATAATCCAAGCAAACTCTGATCATTAGGGGGAGAAAACCAATTTATATGCAAATTAATACTCTCTGGAGTCTGTCCAGCAGCAGCCAAGTTCTAAGCAAATGGCAACTCGGTTTTTTCCCCCTCTTAAATGCTTTTTGTTATCAGAGACCCTGACAGAGGCTTCTTCCATCAGCTTTCCACAACCCACTGGTCCTCCCACCCAATGCTCTTCACAACCAGTCCCCTCCTTCTCTATCACCTCGCAGTAACTATGAAGATGTTGGTCCTCCCCTGTGATGCCAGGCTGCCTCCGCAGTGCCAGGCTTCCTGCACATTCACATAAACCTTTTATGTTTTTCACCACGTATCTTTCACTGTCTGGGAGAAGCTCAGCATATTCTCAAAACTACCTCACTAGTCTCCCTCTTTTTCTTTTTTAAAATCTCTTTGCTGAGAGACTTACCAAAAATGTGATGACAATTTGGTCTCACAGGATATTACCTCCAGCAGCCACACCAACCAAATGGGCTTACTATTTCTTTTTTCTACTTGTAAATGGGTCCACTCTCTAAATTTATGAGATAACAAATGTCTTTACATCAGACTGTCACATAAAATTGTTAATAAACAAGTGAAAACTTGAAGACATGGATACTGAACTAATTGTACCAGAAAAGTCCACTACTAGGGATTGATTTAAACAACATTTTAAACCCATGCATGGTAAATAACGTGGGAATGGACATACAAAATGGTGTATCACAGATGAGGCCTGACTGGTAGGGAGGAAAAATGGAAAGTGGGCTATTTTACCCATCAGGGTCATTGAGACTCTTAATAATAGGACATTTTGAAGACCAAGCAAAGCCTCCGGCCAGAGCCAGACTGGCAGAAGGAAAGAGTTCTGCCCTCACACCTGGTGGTCTCACCATGCTCAAGGCCTGGAGATTGCCTCAGACCTTTTTAGGTGTTGTCCTGACCACGAGATATGGCCAGACTTTGCCTGACAACACCAGAACAACGGCCACCAACACCAGAAAAATCCAGAGCCTGATTCTTGCTATCATCTCCTGGCTGAACCCACATGTCCTTCTCCTTTTCAGGACTGGAATAAACTCACCAGACTGTAATCCAGCTGGCCAAAAAGCCCTCCTTTGCACTGCTTCCAGTCAGTGGCCAAAGCATGAACACTTCCTGTTTCCAGAGAAGATGGTAAGATTATGTCCACCCTATACAGACCTAAGCCCAGCCTTGCAACGTGACACAGCGGGGACCCACACATCCAGCACTCAAGCGCAGGATAAGGCTTCTCCAGGGTTTGAGTCGAGACCTTCCAAGCCACAGCCAAAATCTGAGCCAAAATTTGCTCCTACTGTTTCCCTTGAGCAGGATCTCAGGGTAACCCATCCCACCATGGGATGCTGCACCCCTGCAGCCACAGCTTGTCTGCAATCCAGACCACCCTACCCATTTGCTCTCACGGGTGTTTGTTGCACCCCCATTTTGTCCGTCCCTACACTGTTTTGTCTTTCTGGAGGTACCGATAAACCTTAGCAACAGTTCCACCTAGTTTTTTCTCTTCAACACAAAAGGCAAATTTACATGACATCTTTAGTACCTGGTAAAAGAGGCCTCTAAACAGGAATTTATCCGTGAAAACAGATTATAATTAAAGGGAAATTCAATACAAGATGCTGTTAAAGGAAGTTTCTTTCCTGTATTTTCGATAAATATGTATAAAGATACACCTTGTTTGCTGATCTTGGAGAAAGTAGGGAGAGGTTTCTGCGGTCAGACCTCTGATTTATGTTGAAACATCTAATGTTACAAATGTACAAGGTCATGTCTGATTGCCACATTTAGCCCTTTGAATCAACACAGCAGCTTTCCTAAATGAGATATCCAGCTTTCTATTGATAGACACTGCTCTTAAATGCTTTCTGCAGAAGGACTGTCTTTTCATTGAACTTAATATGATGGGCTAGCACACAATATTTCTGTCATATGTAGCATGAGAAAACATATAATAAAATTGAAGACAACTGGAGCAGGCTTTGGCTCACACTACAAAGTCCTGTCTGTAGTCCTTCATTTAAGTATGACATGAGGATTAAGGACACAGACTCATCATGTACATAATCCAGCACTCTCCTGGTCTGATCAACTTGCATTTGCCCTCAAAGATGCAGGTTGCATCCAGCCCCCCCCCATCGTCTTCATCCTTGCAGGCAGCTGGCAGGCTTGCAGGAGCAGGAAGGACACAAGCCTTGCCCTTGCCTGCTGCCTGCCCCATCCCCTGGGATCAGTTATTCAGCATCGGTTGAGGACGGGCTAGTGCCAAGTCACACAAAAATGCACAGAGCAGGTTTCCCAATGGCTATTTAGGGCTCTTTTCCCAGCATCTCTGTGCCTGAAGTCACACGTTAGGCTGCTTTTAGCCTATGAAAGACTGGCCAGAAGGTCAGCCACGAGGTGAAATGGCCTGTCAGAACCAAACAGCCTCAGCCGTCCTCCTGCTCATCTTCCAGCTTGTAAATGGCTTTTTAAAAATCAGAAGCATAAGAGCAAGTTGTCCAAGGTCAGCTCTAAAGTGTGCACTAACCTTGGATCCTATACATTCATTTTTTCCTTTTTTTTCCATTTCCTTGGCCTAGATGGCTAAAAACAAATACACAGAGTGTCATGTATTAGCAAGATCAATCTTAAGCATTGCATGAAATTAAGTGAGTCCAAAGGTCAAACTCTTTGTGGCTACAGTTCATCAAAGACAGGGTTTAAAACTGGAAAATTATTCCTTTAGTTAAGATATTCTCAAATTTTTGTTTCCTTGAGGTTTTTCTTATCTGGATTGTACCTACGGATGTTGGAGAAATCCAGAAGTGGTCTCCTAGCTTGAAGCTCTACGTCTATTTGTGTAAGAAGGTATGTTTTGTGTTGTTTACATTACACGAGCACTTACATTTAAAACTGATGTGCTGTCAGAAAGATGATACAGATCATGAAAAAAATTAAACAGTCCTGTGTAAAAAATGAGAGTAATGCCTTGCATGGGTGAGTAAAATAAATTCTGTAAAATACTATCTCCACCTTAAAAACATGCAAGTATGTTTTTTTCACATAGCTCATCTGTGCATATATTTTCACATTACTGCTACCCATATATTTCCTGCTTTGTTCCCTTTGATTTCGGCTAATGTACACCCGTTAGATAGGTTCATCTACAAAGTTAGTCTTGTTTATTCAGTGCTTGCTGCAGTAAGGTTCCCACCTGACTGCCCCTACCCCAAAATGAATAATGAATACTTCTAACAACTTCCACATGTGTAAAAGAATAACCTTTGCCCAAAATAAGGAGATCTGTCCTTAAACACATTAGTAGAATAAATCATTACCCAACAGGAGTAACGAGAGTAATACCTCACCTCGTAGTACAAAAGGAGCCTGGTGCCAATCTGGATAGAAATTAGAGATATGGGGGAAAAAAATCCAAACTTTCCTCGAAAATCAGATGGTCTCAGCTGCAGTACATGTATGGCGCACACAAACCAAACCACTCCTTAACCGAGCGTCATCTCTTACAGGCGTCTGTATCTCTCCTGTCTTCCTGAGCAGAAGGTTTCTATCAGGTTGCTCCATTGGTTCTGCCCTTTCTGTACAAGCTCTTGCCACCCATATAAGTTGCAATTCGAACACGAAGGCCAAGGAGGAAACATTTCTGCAGTTCTTGAGCTTTCTGTGGCCCTGGAGACCCCACGCCTGGGCTCCCTCCCCTCTGAGCATGAGTCTTGACCTGAGGGCCATGACTACCAGGAGGAGAACTGCATGGCTCTCCTTGGGCACAACATCAAGCTCAAGTTAATTACTCTAAAAACAAGATAAAGCACTAAAAGGGTGACTTTTTCATTTGAATGCTGTCTTCATTTATGAGCAATGTTAACTTACCATTTCTTTCGGGAAAATACATTTGATAAACATGAGTGATAAAACCTTCCACCGTACCGGAAAGGAAATTTGCATAAATTTCCATCCTCCGTAAACACTGCAATACAAGAATAAAAAACTCATCAGGCAGCTGAAATCCAGCCCACAGGTGTATATATTATATCTTCAAGTTTTTCAGCTGTACTTTGGACTCTGTGTCTCTACAACTTCTAGTGCGTAAGAAGAGTCTTAAAATCCTACGTAATGACTGAACCAACAAAGATTAATGGGCTTTGCAGTAGAATAAAGATCTCGGATCATTTCAGTTCAAAATATATTGCAATTTCTGGTACAGCAAATGCCAATTATATTCATTAATTGCAATTATCATTTCTAATTATGTAGTATTGTAATAGCACATTAAATCGATTTCTGAAGTAGTATCCTTTCAGGCTCTATATCACATTGTAACATCTGTTTAAAACAATTAAGGCACCAGACAGTACAGACTGAAATAGAAACAGTCAGGAGAAAGAAGATTTTAAAGGTTGGGGGAAGACAGATAATTTTGATCATACCACCTTCCATTTGGGATAAGCAGATTCCTTACAAGTGGGGAGAAAGCGATGGGACTGGTGTCTGAAAAGGGCAAGTTTTACCTTCACCATGTCAGTGATAGGATTCTAAGGAAGGGTGGTGGGAGTCTAAGGAAGGGTGGTGGGAGTCTAGCAGAAAAAAATCCTTCAAGATGAGCCTTGAGAATGAAGGAGACTGAAGATAAAAAAAGACAATGAAAAACTGTCAGAGCTTATTTAACCGCTAAACTAAAAGCAATCAGTTTTGAGAGCTGGGAGTGTGAATGGGAAGCCAACTACTGCTGTAGGAGAGAAATGGGGGGTACAACCGAGCTGGCAGCACAGCACATTTCCATTTCTCAGTGACGATGTACAACTGCTCCTTGTCCTGAGCTTGCCCCCTTCCACGACGGCTGGGGCTCCTGCGCACCCTTTGAATATCTGTTAACCCTCACAAGCCCAGACTCATCATCTCAATGTGCTGCTGAGGCCAATTAGCATTCTGGAAATAATAACTTGTCCCTGTGGTCCAAACCCTTCCCAACTGGTTAGAGCGATGGTCAGTCCATCTGCCCTAATTGTCCTCTCATCTGACAGTGTGAACTAGCTACTCCCAGCCCCACTGCTGCCCCTTTTTCAAGCCTGGGTTTCATTGCCTGAGCTAATTGGGCAAATGTTCAGATATTTAACCTCTCTGTCTGATACCTCCTACTAGAAGCAGTTAGTTAGTTGTGAAAATACATCCATTCAGAAGACATACTGTATCCCAAAGGCCATTAGAGACTGCTCTAAGCTATAAACGCACCACTAATGGCCCGATTCATGTAATCCCTAACAGCAAAAGCACAGGACAACACAAGCTTTAAAAATGGAAGTCTGCAATGCGTGCGCACAGCCAGGATGTCTGATTGTTTAGATGCCATCAAAATAAATGCAGCCCAGCAAATTGCATGGGACTCAAACCCTTCTCCCACAGAGAGATCAAGGGCTGTAGCAGAAATTGAACCTATATATACAAAAAGCTTATGCAGGTTAAAGTCACAGGGCAGACGCAGCTCTGATTAAAATAAAGGGAGTTGCACATGTGCAGCCACACTATGTTATGAGTGAATATAAGCCACGCCACCTCAGACAAACTAAAACCCCATCAGAACCTTCCCATTAATGTGCACCTGAAGGAAAATTACCTGAGATTCCTGAGCTAATCCCAAATTCCCCTGTACACAGAAATTAATATTGGCATAACCATTCCATAATCCTTATTCATGTTGAAACAAAGACGGGTTTACTGCTGAATTGCACAGCATGGATACACAGGCAGATTGTTCTTACTGTCATGAAACCTATTGGATTTGACTTTGTACCTTGTGGGTGAGTGAACTCATGTTTTGAGCCTCTTCCTGCCCCAGATTTGTAGTGCTACAAAGAGAAAAAAAGAATGTGGTTTGGAGACAAATTCATTCCGGGAACCATCCGATAGAGACAAATGTGCTTTCCAGGGTGCCCTGAAATTGTGTTTCTCCCAGTGCTTCTGCAAAGATCTCATTATTTGCGTGCGATTTTTGCTGGGGCACAGTCTGGTGAAAGAGGGTAGATAAACACTGACTAGTGAAAGGTCTCTGTTAAACCAGGAAAACCCAGCACAGCACAAAAAAGGCCAAAGCTCTGCTCCATTATATCTTTCTATTGCCAAGGGACACATCTCCTGTTTCTTTCGGCAGGAAGCATATATGCATTCTGGGGCCAGTTCACAGTTGCAAATAATGTCCCAGCATTTGACTTTTCCTGCCATTTAGCTGTATCCCCTCAGGGCATTAGTTAAAAAAGCAACCTCTACTTTATTTGGGTTTGCCGATCAGCAAGCAAAGAGCACTAGGCTGAGCCACAGGAAATAATAAAAAATGGTAATACACATAAAATGCTGCTGCCACCAAAGGTGCTGACAGCTGAACTATAGCGAAATAAAAATATCACAAAAGCAGTCAAGGAAGCAGCACATCATGAATGTAGAAGTGGATAGGGGACAAAACAAGTAAGGGAAAAGACAAAGCTGTTGCTAAGATATATAGGGAGGGCTTGCACAGTTCTGAGAAAGAAACAGGTTTTGCGCTCCACGCTGACTCTGCCAGCACTGAGCAGTCTCCAACAGCTTCAGCCAGGGCTGATCTTTTCCTAGGCACCGTGAATATTCCTCTCTGCTCCCACCTGCAATGTCTAAGCAGATGCTTCTGCACTTTGCTTGGATAGTTAGGATTATACCATCATTTAAGTATATTTGAGCTAGTTTTAATCTAGCTAGTGAAATAAGGCTAATCATAAAGCCACACAACTGGGGCTGTCGGTCCATGGTGGATGCCAGGCTGTGGTGGGATTTAAGGAAACTAGCAAAGTCAAACCATCACAGCCACGCTCAGCAGTGCTGCAGCTGCCTTGCAAACGTACCTGAAACAAGATACAAAGCACACAATGGAAACACTGAAGGGCATGGCATGAAAACAGGGAGAGGTTTGAAAAGAACGAGAAGGTTGCCTAAGCTGGCACGTTCAGTTACCAGGTAGTAGTAAAGTCTGGTGGGGTAGCACTCTCCTTCCATGCTACAGCAGGTATCTGCTTGTGCCAACACATCCCTGAGATGCATTTTCACGGTATTTCAATTTTTGTGGTCCTTCCTCCCATCCCATTCTTCCTCCCTAGCATGCATGGATATAAGCAATTTCTTTAAACGCAGATACATAAGGGACCAGCTATCCTACAGGTCCCCTGCTTAGCCAGCACTGCTGTGAGCCTTCATCTAGCAAATCCCTTTTGTTTTTCACCTGAAGCTCTCTTGCTTTCAATTGGGTTGGCGGCTTCACTCATCCAACCCCAAGGCAACATTGTCCTGCCAGCCAGCACGTGGGTGATCCGCCACTCCAAAGCAGAAGAATCCAAAACTTACCATCCTTGCACAGTCACTGCTCAGAGTCAGAGCCAAGACAACAGTGAAAGGAGCACAGATTTTCATCTTTGCTCTCCTGTCACGAAGGTTTTGCCTGGCAGAGGGAAACTTCCAGGGCCGGGCTGAAGCAGGAGGGTGAATCAGCAATGAGCTTTCACAAGGGACTGTGATTTACTTGACTTTAGGGTATTTTAGTTTTCTAAGCAAGCAGAGCTGTTATCGCTGTTAATCATTAATGTCTTTGTGGGTAGATGGGAATGCCATGTAGCGAGATACTCTCCCCAAACCACAGGGAGTGAAGAGTTTCCCAAGTGCCTGACCCTCGGAGATGATCACTGGTATACTCAGCAAGTGTTTAAGAGCACCTCCAGAGGAGCTGATCCAATGACACTTGTAATCAGAGACCATTTACCATCCAGATGTTCCCCATCTCTTTC